TAACGGTCTGCGTAAATCGCGTGCTGCGTATCGTATAATATAATATATAATATGTTATTATTAATATATTATTATTATTATTATCGTCATCGTCGTCGTATATAATATAATATAGTGTGCCGTGTGCGTATAATTGCGATGTGTTCATGTGTACCTATACGTCGTGCAGTGGTTCGTCGAACCTATCTCGGTAGAACGGGAGCTGCCGGCTTTTTATTTTATTTATTTATTTACTATTTTTTTTTAAGAGCACGCTGGACACAAGGACCTCTAATGAGGTATTTGTCGGCGGCGCGCACTATCGGCAGGGTTTAGCGAGTCTGTGTGTGCGCATTGCTGCCGTTGCACTTCGTGCCGCAATAAATCATTATCGACTTTCTACACACACACACGCACACACACACACACACACACACACACACACACACACACACACACACACACACACACGAGAAAGAGCGTAGTATACACGTCACACCGAACCGTTTGTGCGCACCCCGAGGACCTGACCGTTAAAAACGAAAAAATTGTTTAAATTAAATAGGTACTCGGCTCGTGTTCGGATTGTCAGCTGGAGCTGTGCGATATCAGTTTGCTTAGACATTTCGTTTCAACGCACTTTTATACACATACGTACACATTGCCATTATAATGCACAAGTCATTGCAAGAAATCATAAATGAGAACGGCTCCCCGGAGCATGTAAACGGTATATACGCTCGTTTTAAATATTATTAATTAACAACAATTATTATTTATCGTTAATTAATAATAGTACCAACCCATATAAAAATAATATGTAGCATCTCGTACCGATAACGATAGAAAAAAATTGTTATAAGCGTATCATATAATACGCGACGAACACGTGCCGCGGCCGTGTGGTGTCCTCCACAATCGATACCTAAAATGATAATATAATATCTCAAATCTCCCAGCTCGAGTCGTCTGTGTACCCACATATTATTATAATATATATCCATACCACAATGCAGCTCGTCTCTCCGTATAATATAATATAATATTACGACGCGTTTGCAGCCCGTCCTTCTGCTCTGGTGTACCTACCGCTGTGTGTAATACGAAAAGAGATTTCAGAGGTGTGATTGTTTACGCAGCTCGCGAGATTTACCCATTCGGGAGAGATGGAGGTCCGGACTATATTATATAGTGTTTTCTTTGTGTTGTACGTTATGTCCAAAAGACCCAATTGAATGGTCGTATACACGTACGAGCCTTCCCGTATTGTCGTCACAATACGTATAAGTGCCTATATCTACCTATATTAGTATAATACACTGTCCGACAATATACACATACGAATAAGGAATGTACGATAAATACGTCGTCATACAGAGCGATTCACGGGTGCTGCTCTTATTCCTTTTTTTCCATCCTATATTATGTCAACTACGCAGTATTCTGATTTTTGAATTGTCTTGAGCGCCAGACATAATTCTACCTAGGTACCGAAAAACCATGTTTTCAGACTTTTTTTACACACTTCACGAAGAGTCATCATATGGTAATTCTGTTTTTTTTTCAAATGAGAACCATATTTTTTTTCTTTACTAAAATATTATCAAAAAATCATTTTATTTGAAAAATTTAAAATGTTATGAATCTATAAATCGAAATACGAACATTTTGTTACAGGAGTTATTGAACTTTTTCAAAAAAAGATAATTTAATATCATTCTAGTTATTGATAATATTATAAGGGAACGGTTTATATTAAACATAAATATGTCTAATGTATATAATGAGTCTAGCTAGAATTTATTCCATACTAGACGATTTTTACTTACCATCAGAAAATGCTACTATATCATATCAATATTATAATAACAACTATACTCAATTTCCATATCATCATAGTCAATCATTGACTAGTGTCCTTAGCGCATAAGTTTAACTTATAGAAACTACTTGTGCAAATTTAAAATTATATAAGTAGGTACAAATATCAAATTATTTGAAAAAAATATCACCAGCTTTATAATTTACAGTAACGAATAATGGTATGTTATTATTATTTGAAAAAATAGGTTTAGCAAAGGACACTGTTTAAACGGTGTACAAAATATTATATGATCTGCTGGTATTTATGCTTAAATAAATTCGAAAATTTAGAATCTTCAAAGTTCAAACTAATCAACTGTTTAGAGGAATGGTCGGAGCGGGCACGTCTGCAAGTAAATCACCCTGTACGAGTGTATATTATATTGAGCGTATTATAACACTGCATAAGGACGTTATATTACTTATATATTATTATTATATTATGTTATATAGGGATCGATAACGTTTTACGTTTCGGTTACTCAAACAATGATTTATTTTTTTTTCTCTTGTAGAGGTGTCGTGGAGCGTCGTGTACGTTCGTAGTATAGCTACGAGTCGAAACAATAATAATAATAATAATAGTAGTGAAATACATAAAAGAAGATACTGTGTGCATTTGTAGTGCGTTGCGCGACGGGCGACCGTGTGAAAGTTAATGACGCCGATTGTCGTATAAAATATATATAATAATACAATATATGGTCACGCCGTTACACGCGGATCATTAGTAAACGGAATATCGCTTTTTTTTCGCACCTATTCGATAAAAGTCACTAATTGGCAGGCGACCAATCTCGATCGCGTTGGTATTTCAAAAACTACGGGCTTGTTATTAGGTATGTTGTCCAAGATTTATTTGTTCAAAGTATTACTTACCTAGAAATTAAAAACGCAATAGACAAAAATCACGAAATATGTAGCAATGCATACAGATTTTCTTCTGGTCGTCTCGTGTATGACGTATGTATGTACAATAGAAAATCAACTATAGTTTTGTGTTAATGACAAATTTATCCAAGAGAGAGTTAGGGAGGGTCGGGTGATGATGGTGAAATTATAATTGTTTATAGATTATAACGACTCATTCAACGTCGGAAGTCACTGACCTTGGCACTGTACTAACTTAAAATGTTAACACGTAAACGATATCACTAGATAATAATTAGTATACTATAGGGTAGTGAAGCTTACAAAACACATTCAATTGATTGTATTATGAAATTAAAATATATAAAAGTACACTTAATAATTTAAAGGTATTAATTTGGAATTTAAAATTCAAGTATAACCACTTAGTTGACCAAGGCACCATTAAGTGAAAAACCGATCTTGGGTGGTTATACTTAAATAACGAATTCGTTACTAATTAGTGAAACCGTTTATGTTCCCAACATGATGTACCTATAATTTCTTATCGGGTTGACTTTTTATGATACTCCCGACCGAGCACGATATCGTTAACTCGCGGGGTGAAACGTAGCTCATATTATAATATATATACTGAGAACTGAGTGACTATAATATAGTACATAAACAATCTTTAAGTTAATTCTACGTTCATCCTTACCTACGTCTTCCATTATCCACTATCCAAGTTCGTGTCATGGACAATTTATGATCGTACAACTAATGTAAATTTAATATATATGAATAATCTACAAAATAATAAATCAGGTACCGATTATCTAAATATTAAAATCGAAATGAAATAGTATCAATGTATTAATAAATTTTATAATCAACAAAATATTACAAGATAGTATAAATAATAATATAATTATATGTCAAGTTTTTGTAAATTATTTTATCAACATTTTGAATTATTGTACCTATATGTAATTACTAAATTATTAACTATATAATATTATTGTGCCTTAATAGGATAATCATATAGGCGAAATAACATAAAACATAATTTAACATTCGGATTAAAATAATTTAATGTTAATATTCTAATTTTGAGACTTAATTATTTTTTCGTCCACTTTATTGTTTTTTACAGCACATGGGTTTAAAAAAAAAAAAAACAATTTTCGTTCTCGTTCCCACATGAACATTTTATATTCCATATACAACAAACCGAATATTTGTAGTTTGGTATTATATATTTATATATATATCATACTATATGTATATACCTACTAATGATATATCCCTATACGCGCTGTTAAATAGTTTGCGAATCTGGTTGACATTACCACCCAGAACTGGTTTATATTTACGACTGGCGCATTACGGTAGTCATCATCCTTTTTGTAAAATTTAAAACGCCGACCGATTTCGTTTTATTTCTCTCCATTCCGACGGGGTTTTGCCCCATTCACTATAACAGCCATGGTCGATTATTGTTTTTTTTTGCTCTCTTTAATAATTATCGTCTTGAAATTTCAACATTTTATAATCTAATGTTTCACAAACAATGTTTCGTGGTATAAGTAGGTCCAAGGGTGTCTCGAAATATGTCGGACCATCGATATTGTTTTTATACATGTATTAGAATTTATTATACTTAATAATAAATTAACATAAACATAAATATGTTTTTTAAGGCCAAACGATTTCACGGTGTGCCATGAAGTATGAAATATGGATAAGGTACAATAATGACGTGTCTTTATGACAAAACCTAAAATAAACTCAACATTTCGGAAAATTTTTTTCTTTCAATGTTGACCATTTGTTATTTATAATTACTACACGACTGAGAAATATTATGATATTGTACTTAGAAAGTGATTGTGACGTAAAATGTGTATACACCATAATAATTTTTAATCGAATACTAACGATTGGTAGTATTCTTAACAAATGTAAAATTGAAAATGAAAATTGCTTTTCTGGTTTGTTATAAAATCGTAAGTTCGGTTCAGTTGAATTTCAAAAATACATGTTCTACTGATTATCATGCGTAAACGTATTATTCGGGGCTTATTATTTATTTTTTTTACTAGTCCTCTATGCTCACCTAATGTGCGCGCTCACGAGAACATACGAGCATCGGCCTTTGACATACTCTTGCGACCCTCCTCCATCCACCCCACCAATCATTGTGCGTGGCTCGAAAAGACCCGATAAAAGTGTAATAATAATAATAATAATAATAATAATAATAATAATAATAATAATTCACCGGTTTTTTTCCGTACCGTTTTCAGAATGCAATTGCAACGAGTTTTCTCACCGGTGCTTCTTCGACAAAGAGCTGTACGACCGGACCGGACACGGAGGACACTGTCTAGACTGCGCCGGGAACCGGGACGGGGCGAACTGTGAGCGGTGCAGGGAGAACTACTACCAGAGGAAGGGCGACACGCACTGTTCGCCGTGCGAGTGCAACGACGTCGGTGAGTGGTGTAGAGTGCGACGACCGACGGACGTTTTACGGTTCTCCCGAACGGTGTGAAACGTTTTGCGGTTTTCCCAGAGTACCTATTTTTTTTTTTTTTTTACTCATCGGTGATTCGCTATACCTTGCAGGGTCACGGAGCTTGCAGTGCAACTCCGAAGGCAAGTGCCAATGCCGTGCGGGCGTGGCAGGCGACAAATGCGACCGGTGCGCCGAGAACCATTTCGATTTTGGGCCGACCGGATGCAAACCGTGCGGATGTATCGTGGCCGGTAGTCTGGACAACGAGCCAAGGTGCGAGGCTGAAAACGGAAATTGCATTTGCAAGGAGAACGTGGAAGGCATTCAATGCAATAAGTGAGTACAACACACCTGTCTTCCGCATACCTTGCTTGTCAAAAGATGAAAAAATACCCATCAGTAATAATATTATTTTTATTATTGTTTTCAATTCGATTGTCTCTTGTGCACTTTTCACGATTCTTCAACCCTATAATAATAGAATACTAAGATTAGCCTGAAAAATGTGCTCCTTCGTTGACAAATTATTTACCACTGGAATCACTGAATGTCGAAAATGCATAAGTCACGTGTCGATCGTATTCAATAACATATAATAATATTGTTGTTATGACATGAACGGATTATATTTTATAAAAAAAAAAGTATTACTCTTTTGATTTATCGACTACCAGCTATAGTGCGGAAAACAATAAAACAGAATTACACGTTTGGATATGCGTGTAATATTTATTCATTTTTTTTTCAATTGATAAAATATATCGTTATTTTATTGCATAGATGTAAACCGGGTTTCTTCAACTTGGACGAGGACAATTTATTCGGTTGTACTCCTTGTTTCTGCTATGGACATTCTTCGGTGTGCCAGTCCGCTTCGGGTTATTCAAGAGGTACCTAGTATACTATATTGTTTTATTTATTATTATTATTTTTTTATCTTCTATTATACACCATATATTATATACGCTCCAAGCGCAATTAAATTTTGCGTTTTGTTATTTGCGCGCGCGTCTGTACCTATATACAATACGTCATATGCATATTTACACGTGTTTTAAGTTTCCGTCGAGAGCGTATTCGTCCGGGGTAACGAGCGATGGAATGGTTCGGACGTCTTCGGGAGAACGGTGTTGCCGGTCCACAGTCCTTTCAAACAGTCGTTGGAGATTTCCTCGCCGTCGAAGGACGCCGTCTACTTATTGGCACCGGGTGAGTGGTCGACGATTATTAAAAGTGCACTTGCCTATTGGCTATATTATGCTCACTGAGCTATAATCTCGCAAATATATTATACAACTGCAGACAAGTTCCTCGGGGACCAGCGTTCCAGTTACAATCACGACTTGACCTTCAAACTGAGCATAGGCGAAAACAGTCCCGACCCGACCATCAACGACATCATTCTGGAGGGCGGTGCCGGTCTTCGCGTCACCCAAGCGATATTCGGACAAGGAAACACATTGCCTTCCGACACGGTAAACGTCTTGTCAGTTGTTATATTTTAGAGTATTTGAGCTTGTTACGAAATAACATGTACCAACTGTGTACCTATCTTAGGATCAGTGTACCGATTTCGCTGCTTATATTTTACGGTCAGTGTAATAGCACCGCCACTTATCATTTAGTTTTACCTTCAGGCAAAAAAAATGTGTTTGGTCCAGCCTTGCCTTTCCATCGCGTTGGTCTATTCTCCTATACATTATGTAGATATACATAAGCTAACTGCAGATGTTGTTAAAATACTTGTATGGTAAAATACTTTTGGATTTCGAAAATAAATAATATTCTTGCATTTTTTATATTATTAATACCTAGCCAACAACAGTATCGGGACTTTTATGAAACGTCATTATGACAAGCACAAATATGAATTTGAGTGATACTCTATATAAACTATTATAGACAGTATCAAGTTTTCATTTATTTTTATTATTTTTATAACAAGTTTTCGCTGTCGTACATTTTAAATTTATTTGAGTAAAGTAACTAAGGCTGTACTGTTAACAAAAAATCAAATGACTTATGGCTATTATTTAGTGCAATTTATATTGGTCTGTGGTCTGTCGACCCTGAAAATGACCTATTGCCCAATCGGTATACGAAAGGTGATTTTAAGCTCAACTATTGGTAATCTACGATATTTTGAACTGGCATCACGACAACATATATTCACAATAAATGATCATCCTAATGGTTTTGTTTTTTATTTCTCCTCCATATAGCCAAAAATGTACAAATTCCGCCTACACGAGAACCCGGACTACGGATGGCAGCCCAGGCTGTCTGCTCGCGATTTCTTCAGCGTATTATCAAATCTGACGGCCATAAAAATACGAGGAACATATTCCGACAGAGGTATGTACACGTCTGACTAGCAAAATGCACTCATACAACACGCGATATGAATATAGTATTTAGCGGGACGCCAAGCACGCTCACCCATTTTTTCTTCGACAATACAGTTATTTAAAGTCTTATTTTTAACATTTTCAAATAAGTATATATATTGGTACTAAAATACGATATTTTCAAATTCTTGACATTTTTCGTACTGCTTATAAGAAGTATCCTGTAGAGAACGAAGATAGGTACATAGACTTCCACTTTTCACACAAAAGCCTCCATTTGAATATAATTTAATATACCTAGGTAGTAAATTAGTTGGCAGATAATTTTTCTAAAAACTCGACGTATCAAAATCAAAATTATAAGGAGTAGTTTTTAAATTGCTTAAATATTTATACACTAAGAATAATAGGTCCATAATAATATGATAATGAAAGACAATACGAACAATTTGGCGATTTGAAAATGTTATCAATGTATATTAATATATCTATCAACATTTATAATTAATTATAATATAATATTAATATATCTATCAACATTTATAATTAATTATAATATAATATTAATATATCTATCAACATTTATAATTAATTATAATATAATATTATATATTATAATTATAAAATGGTCCAAGTATAATAAATACTAGATCTATTTATTTCGTATTTTTTAAATACCATTTTTAAGGACTAGCTAAGTATAGACATTCCAATGGCTTAAAAACTATTCGTTTGAATTTTGAATTGGGTAAATCGACATTTCGAAAAAAAATTGTCCACTTAATAATGTAGGTATAGTGAAAAAGGTTCAATTTAAAAATAGAAAACTGTATCGCCACAGAACTGCACTCCTCGAGTAGTACTGAAATCATCTCAATATAGTTTTAAAACGATAGGGTCTCATTAAAATTTAAAAAAATCAGAATTTAAATATATATTATATTCATTGTAAAACCAAAAAAACGGGGCTAGAGCTCGCCCTTGTGAATAACCTTGAAAGTGTAAACATTATAATAATATAACATCATTATTAATTACGGTTTTCGAACAGGTGTCGGATTCCTGGACGACGTTTCACTTCAGACGGCCCGGCGAGGCGCTCCCGGATTGCCGGCCAACTGGGTGGAAATGTGCACTTGTCCCGAAGGATACATCGGACAATTCTGCGAGTCGTGCGCACCTGGTTCTCGACATGAGCCAACCAGCGGTGGTCCTTTCTCGCCATGCGTCCCGTGTAACTGTCACGGTCATGCCTCCATCTGCGACGCGGACACAGGTAACGACGATTTTCTATTTTCTGTATCATCATCATGACTTATAAACATGATTTGTATAGGTACATGTACCTAACTACGGTCTTGCATGGTATAGGTACTCGTATGATGGGTAAAAGTACGCAATTTTAAATACTTTCTCCACGGTGTCTGTCCCGACAGTATATTTTAAATTCAAATTAGTACTATTTATTATTTATAATATTATATTTAATATTTTCAAAAAAAAATCGAGAAATAGACGCTCGCGTTCGAGTTAAAAAAAATACAATCTACATACAAGTTTGCTAGAAGTTTAACTCGTATTTGTATAGGTATCGTTATTATAGTATGCATTTACAGAGCAGAGATTATAATATTATTATATTCAGATATTAAGAGGTAACATTTGACATAGAAAAAAAAATGAGTAGTTCAGTTACACTAAATAATACGGTGTAAAATTCTCTATAAAATTAATTTAAGACATGAAAAAAAACCAACACAGTTGATTTATAACTTTTATAAAGTTAAAAAAATTGAATGTAGATAATTTTTAAATTATTCAAAACCATCTATAAATACCTTTGAAATACCTTTACCCATGTGGTTAGAATATTCAAATACTCTTCAAAATTATCAAAAGTATGTGTATCGGTGGGTATTTTTACATTATTTTAAAAAGTGACTTTTTCAAGACTGCCTTTGCCATGGCATAAGTAATATTACTATCGAACGCACGCGCTCGCGTCTTATTTTACCGAACTGCATATTAATATGATTTTCAAACAAACATCGTATTAAAATAATAAATAATATTAATAAAATGTTCAAAATTATTTATGCACAGGTAGGTGCATTTGTCAGCACAACACGGCTGGCGAGAATTGCGACAGGTGCGCGAAAGGATACTACGGTAACGCTATGCAGGGCACCGCACTCGACTGTAAACTGTGTCCGTGCCCCAACCAGGGAAGTTGCGTTTTGATCGGAGAGGACACTGTCATTTGTCTGGAATGTCCCAAGGGATACGGAGGTAAACATGCACGATGTCACCACGAACGCTTGGCCACAGTGTCTCGTTCGCGTCTTTCGGGTTTTTAACTGTCAAGGTTTTCTGCAGGCCCCAGATGCGACATATGCAGTGACGGCTACTTCGGAGACCCAACCGGGAAGACCGGACCGATCAGCATTTGCAAATCGTGCGACTGCAATTCGAATGTCGATCCGAACGGAATTGGTAACTGCAATCGGACTACTGGCGATTGTCTGAAGTGCATCTACAACACGGGTGGAGCCCAGTGCGACCAATGTCTACCTGGTAAGTGGTTTCGCGTGCAATACCTTATATTGTATATTAATATTATACTTTATACTATGTGATAAACATTCTACTGGTTGAAAAATATAAATATTGCAATCAGGGCTATACACAAATAATGGTCTAAAACACTGTTAAAAAAACAGTGTACTTACTACTTATACTTTAAAAATTTACCAAATATGCAAAATATTCATTGAAAAATCAAAAATATTTTGTTGGCATACAAAAATATTAAATTCGTTGCTACCGTTGTTTTCAGGATATTTCGGGGACGCTCTTGCTCCCGAAAAAGGTGATTGCAAACCTTGTGATTGTTTCCATCTCGGAACCACCGAAACGGGATTCGGACCTTTGGCATGCGATCAGTTGACCGGCCAGTGCCAGTGTAAGCCACACGTTACTGGAGTAAACTGCGACCAGTGCGAAGTCGGTCACTTCAACATAGCCAGCGGAGATGTAAGTCACGATAATAAATCATACAAAAAACCTTTTAGTTACAGGGGAATTTTCAAACACACTTTTTTCCGTATCTCCAATTATTGTCATAAACTTAGAAATAAATTCAAGAATATCAGAGAGACAGAGTGAAAGAGAGAGAGAGAGAGAGAGAGAGATTTTCTCAACATTGTTGAAAAAATATATGGGGTACAACTTAGTCCACCTGTACACGTCAATAGCGTGAGAGAGTAAGAAATTAAAGGGAATTCAATGCCTGCCTAAGGTGTTCAATATAGGCAATTTATATACAGTTATTGACTGAATATCAGCTCTTTCTAACAACGATGGCACTTGGAAAACTTATAAAATGTCACTGTGGGATGTGCATTCCATATACCTATTTTAATAATAATATGACAATGATTAACAAATAATATTATAAATTATAATCAATAAATTATACTATGTAGGGCTGTCAGTCATGTGATTGCGATCCTGTGGGTTCAGTCAACAACACTTGTGACACCAACACCGGTCAATGTATTTGTCGTCCTGGCATAACCGGCAAGAAATGTGATGCGTGCGAACCATACCACTACGGATTTTCAGTCGAGGGGTGTAAATCGTGTGATTGCGATACCATCGGTGCCGTGTCTTTGCAGTGCGATGCGAACGGGCAATGTCCGGTCAGTTTAATGTCATATTCGTACAAATATGTTAAAATACATAGGTATTGTACAATTATACAGTACTACCAAACTATAATATTCAGTGGCGCCCAAGACATATTTTTCTGGTGTAGCAAGAAAAAATTTTAACCACCCGCCCACCCCTTCACAAACTCAAAATTATATTGTTTTATACATTTTATCATATTTTAATTGATGATATTATTAAATATTAAGGTATTAACCAGTATATAATCTGTGATTAATAAAGAACATTTTTCAAGTTGATTATTTTATGTTATTATACCCACCCACTCCTTATTTTCAAGGTGTAGGTCTACATCTAGTAATAGGGTTGGGCGCCACTGATAATATTATAAACAGTGTTGTGAAAAATAATTGAGTATAGTACCTATAATTAAAATACCAACTCAAGTACTTTTTTGTAATATAGATTTAAGCATTTCAATATTACCTATGTATTTTAATTTTTTTTTTATCAATAATAATCAGTAAATTATAGTTACTCAGAAATGACTTTTTTTTTATCATACATTTTCTGATTTAAAATATCAATATTTTTTGTTTATTTAGTGTTTGGAAAATGTGGAAGGAAGACGTTGCGATCAGTGTAAGGAAAACAAGTACGACCGGCAGAGAGGTTGTGTGAACTGTCCAGCCTGTTATAATTTGGTTCGAGATGCCGTTGCAGCACACCGAGAAAACTTAAGAAAACTGGAAGACGTGTTAAAGAACATTAATAACAACCCAACTGTAGTAATCGACGATGATTTTGAACAAAAACTGAAGGAAGTTCAGTCACAAGTCGATGAGCTGGAACAGAATGCCAAATTCGCTACCGGTGGTATGTGCAAAACATGTTTATTATTATTATTTTTTTACCTATGAACTGAGAATTCCTAATATTACAGTCCTGATCATTGTATGTTTAATGTATACATGTGTTTTATAGGTAACATCCCAACGAGTGACAAATTAGAGTCACTTCAGAGTCAAATAAAAGAAATTCAAGATCTAATGGCCCAAACATTGAGCTGGACGACTACAGCGGAAGAAAAATCTTTAGAGGCTGAAAATAACATCATGAATATTGAAAAAATGAACGACAAATCAGCAAACACGTTGAAAAGAGCGTTGGAGTACATTGAAACAGAAGGAGCCACGTCGCTGCTCAAGGCGGTTACAAAAAGTAACGAACTCGGACAACAGAGCGACCAAATGTCTGAGATTGCCAGGGAAGCGCGAACGTTTTTAGCGTCGTAAGTAGTACTCATGTATTTCATATTACACTCGGCAATGCTTTATATTGCATGGATTATATTTTTTTGTATTCGTATTGTTACTTGTAGAAAAGAGGAAGAAATGGAAAAAATGAGAGTTACTGCAGAAAAAGCAAGGCATGTATCACTTGAAGCATATAACATCACCAGAGACGCTGTTAATCAGCAGAAAAATATCAGGTATAATAATGTAGTGTTTAATAATTTTTACAGTTTTGTCTGCTTTCAAGTGTCAGTTAGCTGAAACGCACCCCCGTCACTCTCTCACTGTCTAAACACGAAGGGTGACTTTCGTCCCTATTGCACACGACCACTTTTCAATTATGTACAATTAGTTTTATAAACGTACTCCTACATTATACATATTTCGCATAATTCAATGTACTATGATAAAATGTTAATGTATTTATAAATACTTCTAGTGATGAATTAAAATCTTTGGATACGGAGGTCAACTATGTAAAGGATAAATTGAATACAATCATTACCTCAGCAAACGAAGCACAGGAATTGGTGACTATGGTCAATAATGACTCATTGACAATATATCGAGATATTTACGCTATAAACTTACCAGATGTCAATGTCGCAGTTTTGAAAGAAAATATTTCCAATTTAAACGCAGAGGTAAGATAGATATGTTGTTATTAAAAATATCGTTAAAAAATAATATAATATAAACCTTACATTTGAACATATTTTTTGAATACAATCTGTTTTCTAGGCCGAACAAATCAAGAATGAATTAAAAATGCAAGAAACTGACCTAAACATTAGTAACCTCATTAAGGAAGTAGCCGATGAGCTACAACAATCTGAGATTACATTAGCTCAAGGCGAGCAGCAGCAACGAACCAGGGAAAACTATTTGGCACAAGCAAATGCTTCTTATGAAAAAGCAGATCAAGCTGTTAAATTAGGTGTAAAGATTTTGGAAGAAGCTCAACAAACACTAAGCACATTGCAAGGTGAGGGTGTAATATGCAAAATACGGGTTGTCGAAACGGTTAATCATTAATTTGGTCTAATTTTCCATTGTAGCATTCGACAAACAGGTGCAAGATAGTAAAAAAAATGCGACGGAGGCCTTAGGGCAGGTTTCACAAATTAGACAGTTGATAGAAGAGGCCAACGATAAGACTATACGTGCCCAACAAGCATTAGCTGGAGCCGAACTGAGTGCTATACATGCCAGGGACACCGCCAAAGAAGCACAACAAACATACGCTGATCAAGCATCAGAGGTGCGAAAACGTGATAAAACTGTTTCCGTATCCGATATACTAAACTCGATTTTTTTCGGTCTATATAGGATTCGAAGAAAATAAAGAAAGCTGCGGAAAATTTGGCGTCCGAAGTTCACAAGTTATTCGACGAAAGTGTGGGACAGATTAAACGAGTCGAGCACACCGCCGAACGCTTAAAGGACGCGGAAACCCAATTCGAACAGGACCAAAAAAGCATTGACGATGTAAGTGCCTTTATAATTATACCTATGGCTAAAAATCTAATCGTTTACGTTGATTATCAAATATTACACTAATAAAATGCTTGTTACAACAACAACTTTATATATAATATTACTTGAATTCTAGGCAAAAACGAAAATCGGCCAAGCAAAAACATCAGCATCTGAATCTAAAAAAATGGTAGACAAAGCACTGCAGGATGTCGAAAAAATATCAAAAGAATTATTAGATCTGGCCGACAGTGGTAAGTGAAATACATTTTTCAGTAATGTACGACTTTTCTTTATTGTTAATCAAAGTTTTATTCGTTCCGTAATTCTTTATTTTATTTGAAAATAGTAATTTTTATTTATCGACTATTATGTTCAAAATTTCAAATCATAATTTATTCGTAAATATTTATATTGTTTAATATATGTAAAATAGACAATAAAATTAACTATTATTATTAAATGTTTTATTGAACTGTTTGTTTGAAATAGATACTGACAAGCTGAGTCTACTCAGCAGCAGATTAGAATCGGCCGAACAGGAGCTGATGAACGCCGAGTTGGACAAGAAACTTGCGGCTATCAATAGTGCAAAGATTTCTCAAGTGAGTCTCAAAACCCACCGCAGCGTATAGATAAATTATAGTTCAAGTGATGATTGGATTGTTTATTACTTTCTTTACAGGCTCAGTTAATCAACAAACTAAAAGAGGATATCAAAACATTGACAAACGATGTAAAAAATATCGAAGCGATACGACTGGCACTTCCGGTCGGATGCTGGAAGAAAACGAATATAGAAGAATTGCGTTGAGCGAATATCGTCCACCTCAACAGTACACGTTTTACACTTTTACCATATAGAGTCGTTAATATTAAGATAACTATACAAATTTTAAAATGTTTAAGTCAATTTGATGTGTTCATGATTTCAAAAAGATAGCCATAATATTATGTTATCATCACAATTTGTTTACGCAAACGAATTATTTTTTATAATACGGTAGGCAAGTCAAAATTTTGAGATGGGTGCACAATTTTTAATAATTACTTTTATAGAATAACATTACGTGCATACATATTTCATTACGTTAGTTTAACACTTAAGAAATCTTCTAGGAACTTATTTAAAAAAAAAAAACAACCAAGCAAACAAACAAAACAATTCAATTTCTAATATCGGCTTATCGAAAATGGTTATTTTTGTAATAATAATTGCATCCAATATAAATTCAGTTTCAAACAAAAACTTTTGGGGTCTGTCCCGTAGTCCCTAAGCGTCTTAGAATAACTTTTTAAATATAAGAATGTACCTATGCAAAAGACTTAAATAATAATTATGCTGTCTTGAGTAGATTTAGATATATATATTATAATATTTATGTAAGATTATTTCAATGTGCCAAAGACCAATTTATTATTTATTATCCTACATACTATGTCTTACTTATATTGAAGCTTTTTTCCCTATAATAATGTAAAATAAATAAATAAAAATAATTAGATGTGTACTATTTTTTTTTTAATCTGCATCAGACTTATTTTTTTAAGGTAATTGCAATTTTTGAGTCGTGTTGCTAATGAAACAAACATAGTATTAACTATTAACCGATCAAATAATTAGTGTCAACACTAAATTATCATAATTTTAAAGTAATATGTAAGTAATTTTATTATATCTGTTTCAACCTAACATTCAGTACTTACACAAATTTGTACATCTTCATCATACTTTTGTATATCTAATCCTTCGAAAGAGAGCTTAACAAACATTTTTTTTTTAATATTACACGTTCTTGAGAAATTGTAAATTATATGTAGATATCTATAAATACTTACCTATTTTTAAGTATCTGTATACTCGAATACTTTTTTTTATACGGAACATTAATTGGCATCTGTGCTAAAATAATAATTATAATATTTATTTACCAACAACAAAATGATTTATACAATTGAAATTACATGCAATCTTACAAGGTTGGCCTACTCACAAAACCCTATGGCTGTGGTGTAAGCAGGCATCAGAACAAAAAATAAACTAACAATAACTATACAAAATAGGTATACAATAAAAACTAAATTAAAAAATATTTTTGAATTAGTTTATATTATATAAATCACATATTATATACCTTGATACAATATTATCACATAACAAAATTCTTAAATTGTACAGTATCAATGTAGCGTTCTATATGAATATAGTTATTACGAAATACAGATAAATTAATTTTTAACCAGACACAGTTGTTGTGAAACTGATTAAATTCGGATCTCACGTTAAAACTTTAGGAGAAACACTTAAAATATAAAAATACTATTAAAAAGTATCTCTTACTAAACTGATAGTATATATACTTATCCCTAAAAAAAGTCAATATTATAAGCAAATTGCAGTAAGAAGTAGGCACGTACGTGCGAGAGGCACGTGTAAATTCCACCGATTTACAGGTAGGCAGTTCGAATTTAGCGTCGAATTTACAACATATAAATTCCAACGGTACTTACATTTTTTGACCTGCAAAAACAAATGTGAACTCTACCGGTAGATACTAAATTAATGTTGACTTCATATATATTTTTGAATAGGTGACAACATTTTTTTCTTTATTATTACCTTCAAGTTTACAACTATTATATCCGAACAATTAAAATACTTCAGTAACATAATTAAATTTAATTGAAGAGACAAATTTAAATTTGTGTGTACAATATTATAATATATTAAACACCATTGATATTATAAGTTATAACCCAAATTTGTATCCACAGTTATAATATTTACAAATATACTATAATATATACATAATAAATAAATAAAAACTAAGGATGAGAGCCGAGAGGTTATCAAAATTGCATATTTTTGTCTATGTCTTCTTTTTTAGCTATTTGTGATTAAAATATATTCAATAATTGAATAATGAGTTCAAAATTGATGATTTTTTTTTGTATATTTTTTTCATATATTGGTAATTTGTAGAAGAATTGCATGTTAATGATTTATTTGGGCATATAAAATGCACTTGTAGTAAAATTTATTATATAAAACAAAAGTCCAACACAAAAACTTTAGTTTTAATAATATATAGTTCAAATAGAAATATAATAAAATAGAATAAAAATTGTCAAGACACTAGTAAATTTTATCTTATCTTAGTATAATGACATTATTTTTCCTTTCACGACGGTAAAAAAATAAAATTAAACTTAACTATACTACTGCATGCAGCATGTATGCTCGTTATTTCGCGTTCGTGTGTTCATTTCGTTTAGTATTTGTTTTATTTAAAATGTCAAAAGTTATTTTTTTATGCATATTTTTGTGCAAATTTTGAAGATTTTACATCTTATAACTTCTCAGCCATTATAATTTAATTTATTAACTAAGATTTGACATGGTTGGTAAAATTTCAGTATTACGCTTTATACGCTTTACCGGAACAAAACTTCAACTTTACATAATATGTACCTACTAGGGTGGAACCATTACAATCTATAATAGTGTTCATAATCGAAAAATCAAAAATTTAAGAGGATTTCAGAGCTGTATAATATCTCCTCTCTCAGACACACGAGCGCAACACTGAAAAAATTCATTCAAGTAAAATCATGAATAACATTTTTTTTTTATTACTTCTGTTTTTGACTAGGTAATCTTAGAGTAAAATCACACTTTAAAAATATCATAGATTATAGCATATAGGTTTTATATTTTATTATTTTATCATTATTTAACTTTATATTATACCTAAAACAAAAAAATTATAGCATTTTGTCAATTTTAAAGGATATTAAATTGTTTCGAGACATTATTTAGATAAATCGAGGCATGGCGTCAAACCACCCACTCAACACACACTGTACGAGTTCATGAAACTACATAATTTAGCGATAAAAATGATAGTCTATGACATTTAACCCGTCGTGTTATTAATAATTATTGCAGTCTTAAATTGAGAAGGAAAGTGAGGTATTTAATTGTATAATCAGAATAAGTTTTTGCTTAAAAATTTAAAAATTAAACGACAAAAAAAAATTGATCCATCCAAAAACGATGTAGGGCGGAGCTCTTGCGTTTATTTTGCAGATCAAAATTATAGTACACCGGTGCAGGAATTTGCATGAACAAAAATGTATACAATCGCCCCACGAGGGAGACACCCCATCTGACGAGTTCATGCGATTATTGCATACCTATAATATATAAATAAAAAATGATAGTGTATACGACATTATGGACGCAAAATTTAAAAATCAAATGACTCAAAAATTGATCGTCCAAAAAACGATATCGGCGGAGCTCGTGTGTTTATTTAGCAGGTCTGCCGATTGCAGAAGTTATAATACGTATTTAATTCCCGTATTTGCATGATAATATACAAAACAGGTAGGTGTATAATAATCGGTGGAATTAACGATCGACCAGCTCGAAACACTCTGTACGAGTTCACAGAACTATATAATATATATATACGATAATATGTATATCACTACCTATACAGTATACAGGTACGCAGTGCTATTGAAATCCATTTCCACATTGTAATAATTCAACACCTCTTTTCCGTGGCCACACACACACACACACACACACACACACACACACACACACACACACACACGCCGCATAATAATATGTCATCGGCTCCAAATACGCTAGTCATGTCACCGTCGTCTGTGCCACCGTATATTTGTTACGTCGATATACGGAGGCACTACGCGTAAAGATAATTTATACTTATAAGCCTATAGTCCTTATCACTGCTAAGCCGTTATATTATTTAATTTTTTTTTTTCGAGCAGTTTATAATAATTTATAATAACTATTGTAATATTTATATTATTAATAATCGCTTTACAGTAGGTTTAAAGGCCTAGGTCCTATATCCGCGGGTTTACTCACTCAAATTATAATTAATTAGACATTAATATGTACTTAGTAATTTGTAGCCGACAAAAGGAGAGCGGTTGTAGTGCGATATGCGACTGCGACGACGGAGAAGAAGGAGGAGAAGAAGACGAAGATGACGACGATGCCCACTCCTTCGGCCGAAGACTGTGAAACGCCGCTGAGTCGTAATCAGTAGACCGTTTGGACTTCGACAAGTGCGTTGTAGTTATTCTTCTCCACATTATGTATAATATTATTTGGGCAGTGAAACATATAAAACAGGACACTTTAGAGTCTGGGTCATCGCTGAAATATTGTCCGCTTTTCAGAGGGTTTAGTTTCTGGAACGTTAGTGGTTTGTTCCTTCAAACAAAAGTCCACTGGAAGTTATTTAGTTTTTAATTTTAAATCATACAATCTATATACGTACATTAATGGTGAATTAACCGGGATAAGTGAAATTCTAATGATAGGATAGATTTTGTACAAATGAGTTTGAGAGGTTGTGAAATTTTTGGTAGCGTATTTTTGACAATTTTTTCCATTGTGAGTATCTATGTGTAGGTCAATATGTATATAGTATATGTAATCGTTTGAGACATAGTACTATAGTGGAGAGCGTTGGTGATAAAACTGATTATTTTTGATGGAAGCTATTCATCTGTTGAATAGGTATTTGATATTTTGGCTGCAACATATCCCTATGTATAGCAGCTATACCATAAACATATGTATACGATATATCATATGTATACCATACTATAGCTGAACACTATATAGGTTCACATTGCTATTTGAAAGTGTTCGCTATTTAGGTGCGTCCCCTTTAGATCGGGCGTTAGGGGATGTTTCACTGTACAACATAATAACAATAATAATACGAAGTGAAAATGTAAAAAAAAAACTAAATAGTAAATAAA